GCGATGAAAGAGAGACAAAGACGGCGCAATCATCTCTCTTTGTCAAGCGATCAGTGTACTACCACTATCGAAAAGATCGAAAGGTGGATGTAGCACGGATATGAACCAAATGACCGACAGTATCGAAAAGTGGATGTAGCACGGACATGAACCATATGGAGATTTGACCGACAGTACCGAAAAGTGGATGTGGGTAAGTGTTTCCAATTCCTAAAAGTGGATGCACGGCGCTGCTCTACGGCCTAGAAAAAGCGTCCCACGAAAATCGCCGGCATTGCCTCTCTCAGGCTTCTCTCTGACCGTAACCCCAATCGCAACATAAGGCCAATTTCACCAAATCCGGTTACATGAACCGACGGTTAAAATTAGCAGGGTTCCAACTGAAATGATATGAATACTTGGTTTTCCTTCACCTCTATTTTCTGTTGGCCACCCTGCTAATTTTAACCGTCGGTTCATCTAACCGGACTTGGTGAAATTGGCTCCTAGCCCACAATTCGTAGTATAATACGGCCTTAAGATTATATAAAGGAAGGTTAGGTTAGGTTAAGTTATGAGCCTGGGCCACCCATAATGCAATGCAAAGAATCAATGCATGCGCAGTCGCTATTGAAAAAAAGATACTAATAGCGTTTTCGAATATAGCAGGTTTAATCGCTCTGAGAGCGATTAATGACGTCATTGCATCGTCTCTGCCAATAAAAGGCTTGAATTCATAGTAAAATATAGTGATTAATTGATCCGGATTAACCTGTTCATTCGAAAACGCTATAAATAAGGTAGACTATTATTGGCTCTCGCGGTCTTTTGCAATGCATCATGGTTTATTCAGGAATATACATAGTATCAATATATGACTTAATCTTCCTTTATATAACCTTACATAGAATACGAAACAGAGTATGTTCTTTTCTACGTGCATCTTTACCCCCGCTCCTTAAATAAAGGCAAACGCTCGGTCTAGATCAGTGCTGGGATTTACTTGCACATTTCGGCCCGATTCCGTGGCTCACGCCTATTGCCTCCCACTCACTGCTCGTGCGTTAACGAGTCGCCAGATACGCGTAACTAAGGAGCGCGACGGTTTGTCTCAGGAGCGTTCATATGTAAGAATGTCCAAATATAATAATAAGACAATACTTTTCTATAAATAAAAGTTTTTCTTCAATATTTTATATTTCATTGATATAAAATATTGAAGAAAAACTTTTATTTATAGAAAAGTATTGTCTTATTATTATATTTGGACATTCTTACATATGAACGCTCCTGAGACGAAGCGTCGCGCTCCTTAGTTACGCGTATCTGGCGACTCGTTGCTAACGCAGGGGGGATGGGGGGGGGGGGGGGGCAATAAGCGTGAGCCACGGAATCGGGCCGAAATGTGCAAGTAAATCCCAGCACTGGTCTAGATATACTATGTCTATGGTACTGGCAGTGAATTTTGGAACACGGCCTCACCGACGAGATATTCAAGACCGGTGGTCTTATGGGATTTAGTGTGACTGGAAAAAAAACTTGCTGCGCTTATTTTAGTTCATCCAGTTATTGTTTTATTATCAAAAATGTATAAATCTTTTATGTAACTGTCTCAAAAACAACAAAATAAACATTTTATTGTAAAATTACTGTTTTATTATCGACAATGCAAAGATTTACTTAATCTAACTTAGGGCCAATTTCACCAAGTCCGGTTAGATGAATCGACGGTTAAAATTAGCAGGGTGGCCAACAGAAAATAGAGGTGAAGGAAAACCAAGCATTCATATCATTTCAGTTGGAACCCTGCTAATTTTAACCGTCGGTTTATCTAACCGGATTTGGTGAAATTGGCTCTTACAGTAGCGCGTGGCGAGTTTTTTTCCAGTAATATGTTAAATACCATAAGACCATCGGTCTTGAATGATATCTCGTCGGTATTTTCAATAATAAAACAATAACTGGATGAACTAAAATAACTGTGTATAAATTAAATAATTTAATTATTATCTTCAATGCAGTCGAACGGCCGGTAATGTCAACATTCTTCAATTACCTCCGGGCCCATCGGGCTCACTTAATGACCGGACTTATGTTGATGCCGGAAAATCAAATTTTTTAATAAACAATAGCTCAAACAATTGCTCCATTAGAATCAACAATTGCTCGCCTTTTAAAATTGCTCCATTTGTAAAATTAATGTTTTTATGATATATTTAAAAAAACAAATTTTTTCTTTGGAAAACATTTCTAGTAGTTTTTTTCTAGTATGTCCCATAAAACCCATAAAACGATTGCTCCTTAATTGCTCCTCATTGCTCCATCATTACTTTGATGATTTATTGCACTTTTGTATCGAAAATTGCATAGACATAGCATATCCAAAAAATTTATTTTTTGTAAATATATAAAAACATTAATTTTATAAATGGAGCAATTGAATATATTAATAGAGCAAACAAAGAACAATTATTTTGCCAAAAAAATCAATAGAAAATGTTGATTAAACTCTTTAATATAAAGTCATAAACAATAGAGCTATTATTTTACATTTGAATATTCCCGCCGTTGGCTGCTAAGCAATAATTCCAACAGGCGGCCGATAGGTGATGACATCGTCATTTATAAAATGATTAATTTATTAATTTTTAATAAAAAAATACAATAAATCATTAAAGTAATGATGGAGCAATGAGGAGCAATTAAGAAGTTATCGTTTTATGTGGGATATAGTTGCAGAAAACTATTAGAAATATGTTTTTCAATGAAAATTATAGATTTTGTTTTTTGTAAATATTTTTAAAAATATTAATTTTTAAAGGGGAGCAATTGTTGATTCTGATGGAGCAATTAAGGAGCAATCGTTCGAGCTATTGTTTATTAAAAAATTTGATTTTTTAGCGCCAACATAAGCCCAGTCACTTAATGGTCACAAAAATTTATCCAGAGCTGATGGTC